GCAAATATGGACTCTCAAGTTCTGACCATAGGGAAGAAACTGGCCCAAGACTAAGGCCCTAGCGCAGTGTATTCTTCTTGCAGGCAACCCATCCAAGAGTCAATGTCAAGGAGTCCTCACAACCCTTCTCATGCATCATCCCTCTTACATCATCAGAAGCTCATGTATCAAATCTCCCATCTAAGGGATTTGCTCTTTTTCTGGACTCAAAGACATTTCAGGAAGTCTTAGATGTCAAATTTTCTGCCTGTATTGTAATTCCAGCACTAATGTGAATTGGTATTTCCATGCATGGCTGGTTTTATGAACGAGACTGTTCCTCAGGAGAGTGTTGTTCTCATAGTTCAAGGAATTTGAAATTGTGTCCTTACTTGGGGATAATACTTGAGCCCTGCAGGTCCTTGCTCGGATTGTGAAAGAACAACTTCCCTTATTAGGGGTCAAGCAGTCTGCCCGTAGATACTTCATTACCTGCCTGTCTCATTAGGAGGCGTTTGATTTCCCGTTCCCCTACTTGTATGGTTCAGATTGCAGCAACTGAGAGAAGAATCATCTTTTGGAGAAAATAGAAGTAATATCTTGTGTTTCTGTGTTGCCTGTGCATGAGAAGAGCATGCACACTGCCCCCTCTTTTCTAGTTACAGATTTCATATCTTGTTTACGTGGGCATTACGTTAAAGGGAGTTTCTCTGAAACTGTCCCTAAAATTGGGGCAACACTCTTGCTTTTAGGAGGAATACAAGTTAGAGGAGGGATAAAGCACAAGAGAATGAATAAAGTTAATCCTTGTGCTGTGGGTTTCCTGTAGCAGAACTGCTGTGGTGCAGGAATAGGACGCTCATCAGAATAGTGGAGCAACATGTGCCACTCTGTGCAGCATGCAAGGAGCCATCCGTTGTCTGATGTGTTGAGTCCACCTACCATTTCCCTCTCCAGAGCTCATCTCCAGGAGCTGCTTTCTAAATTATATTTTTCCTTCTGCTGCTTCTTTAGCTTATAGTACTGGCTGCCCTGTCAGTGTTGAGTAATGAGGAGAATTGATCACTTACCTCTTTATAATGGCCCTTTACATCTTTGTTGGCATGTACTGTGTGTCCCCTTGCACTTGCCTTTTGTCAGGGTGCAGACCTCTTAATCTTGCTTCATGTAGATCTTTGTTTCCAAAACCATTTTCTTTCTCTTTCCATTGCTGTCCTCTAAGTGCCATCAGTTTATCCTGCTTCTTTTGCAAAGTTGAAGACTCTCAAGGCTGCCAGCTAGCTAAAGAACAAAACCACAGCTAGTTTTTGACATTTTGACCGAAGGCCATCATCTGCTTGTTGCCAGAGCTGGCTCTGCTATGTGCTTTCATAAGGCTAAATCTTTACTAAGTTGTGGACAACATTATCGTGTGGCCATGTTGTCACACATCATTGTAATTATATTTGTTTGCACTGTGCTGTGACATTGCCATATCCCAAAGTAACGCCTTTCCTCTGCAATGCAGCAGTAGCATGGTGCGGTAGGGAGGAACAATGTGACACTACAACTGTACTGCTGAGTAACATTGTCATGTCATGGTCATCACACAATAAACCAACCTCATGCTTCCACAATGCAATGTAATGATCTTCCCTTGATATTGCTGTCACTCATCATGAGTGCTGTCATATATGGGACAAATAAGAGGATCTGCCAGCTAATTCCTTTGTCTCAAGCCATAAAAATCCTGGATTCATTGATCGTAGATAATCCATAATGAAGAGTCATTAGGTAATCACAATGTCATTATATAACAAATCATCATTTCGTTTCACATCATGTGGCAACTTAGCGTGAAGTTTCTTAGGTCAGTTAAGTTATTCTGAAATCTTTTAAGGATGCACAGTACCTCCTAAAAAAGGGACAGATGGAAGGGTGGCAGAAGTATGAATTCTGCTATGAATTCAGCTCACAGCAAGTAGAATTAAGGGCAATGTCACAGGAAACCCACTTATCTTCCCCTGAGTTTTCTTCTAAAGTTTCAGTCTTTATATGATTTTTTTTTTTAATGGAACTTTTTTTGAATTTAATATTTCAAAAGCTAAGCAGAGCTCTGAAAGTGAAATTAGAATAAGTTATATTCCTATGACCTGTTGCTATCTGCTGCCTGAGAATAAAGATTGTGCATTAAGTGTCAAGCAACATTTCCATAATGTTTGTAAGGGATGAATATTGTTGAGAAGGCATCTGCAAGGTGAATCACAAAGAGAGCAGAAAGGCCATCTGGTGTAACTCTGTACAACTCAGGAAAATCCTGATTTACCCCAGCTGAATATGTGGCGTAATACTGTTTTCATCATCTGAGTTGGAAGGGCAGAGATTTAAGTGATGATTTAAAGCTGCCTATGTTGGGAGCAATAGTGAAGTCCATCAGGATGTCTCAGAAAAAAGTTGAATAGTTTCTCCATATGGAGACACACAGAGCAAGGGGCTGGGAAGGACTCGCTGAGTCCAGCGTGAAGATAGCAGGAGCTCTGAAGGAAGCTCACTGTCATTATGGATCATTGCATCTGGTGCCTGCATATTTTTTTTAAGTAGGTTTTCAAGCCAGTGGATTGAAATCTAACCATTTGCTAAAGAGAAACATAATTTACCTCCTCAGCACCATCCCTGACAACCCCAAATCCACATGTAAATCTTGAATCAGATCCAAATCATTGTCAATCTGATGTTGTAGTTTTTTTCAAGAATGGAAAACCCATCCAAATCTAGATGGCTGGTTCAGACCCTTATTTACAGGTCAGATCTATTCTCAGATGTGGTTGCCAGGTTTCTTGTTTGCACGTTGATGGTAGTAACGTACACATATGTGTGTATTAAGAATATGATGGGAGACCAGATAATTCCAGGAAGCCAAGTTGTCTGGTACAGACCTTTTCCAGCAGCCTGTATTGACTTTGCTGGTTTCCAGCAATCACAATTGCAAGTTGCTACTGGAATGACTTCATCTACCAAGCCATACATCAGGCATGTTGTGTTTGCTGATACTTGCATGGAAGACACATCTAGAGTGGCATGTTATGGAGCAAGCTTTATCTTTCCATTTGTTTTTTTCTGCCTCTCTGATTTTTTTTGCTACACTTACTGCTTAGCCAGTTTTATTAATGCACCACTGCAAATGATAGCAAAGAGAGATTTCAGTATAATGAGGCAGATTTCAGAGGACTGAGGGAGAAGTGGAATAAAAACTTCTGTTTAGGAGTTGTTTGAGCCCTGTCTGGCTGCTGCTTTTTTATTTTTTTAATAATACTTTGAAATTATAGTTCCTATTGGACATTAAAGAACATTCAGTTTGTGATTCTGTATAAAATTACAAGGTATCAGATTATGTCATGGCCCTTACCTTACATGGAAGTCTCATAATGCTTGTTTTAATTGAAGGAAAAAAAAAAAAAAAGTATATTCCATTTACCTGCTCCCTTGCATAAATTATATTGCTTAATAATACCACTAAGGAACACATCTGAGTCTGGACAGGTTGTAAAAATATTTGCAATCAGAATATCATTATGACTACAAAAAATAACCTGTCACTTCAGTATGTGGTCATTACAGCAGAACTGATGTAACAATCCTTGAAAAACTCTTAACTGAAGCCAAGGCGTTACATCCTGATGTCCATACCTGTGTCCAAGCTCCAGCTTTGTTCAGGTAAAACTCTCACTGAGGTCTGTGAGAGCGGTACCTGGATAACCAGCAAGTAAACATTATTAAAAACTTGATCATATATCAGAAAATGGTAAGCAAGTCCCATGTAAGTACTGTAAAACGTGTGTCATGATACCTGTCCTGTAATTTATTGTGTTGCCTGTATTTGTTTGTTAGTATATAGATAGAAGTTTTCTACGGAGAAAAATCTTGAAGCTCAACTTGTTATTCAGCCTGTGCCTAGGTCTACTCTTATTTGTTAGATAAAAGCCCACAGAGAAATTCTTCTGGTACTCTTGGTGCAGCAGTGCTGCCAAATATATAGGATGACTGACAGCTTAAAATCTCCCTAGTAAGCTGTTAAAATTGCTTGGGACCCTTTTCGGTCAAAGAGCTGAATTACTAAATAGTCCATAGGAACAGAGCTGCTTTCCCATTTCTAGAATCATCATTCATAGATAAAGTGGAGGTTCATGGGGCAGTACTTGCATTACAGAAAACTGTTTTGTCCAGTTTTCTGTCTTGTGGATTAAGAAGTGGCTTGAATCTTAAGTTATTTTAACCTAGAATGTCCACCCAAGAATAAACTTATTTACAATAATTGATAAATATAGAAACAACTGTATTTTTTTTTCCAAAGCGTTCAGCTGGGGAGATCACACAAAAAAGCAGAAAATTTTCTGTTCACAGAAAAATTGGGTCAGGTATCAGTTCTCCTGACGGTCATTGATGTAGTGTTGTAGGGACCATCAGCTGTAGAGTAAGGGAGCAACAGCAAAATATCAGTCTCCACATCAGCTCTATGCTTGTCCGTTTTAGTCACTTGAAACAGTGGCACATGTCCCCAGTGTTGGTGTCTTCCATGTGCTGTGGAAGTCCAAGTGTCTGTATCCCAAGTACCGACAGCCATCGTGACAAACCAGTCTCTGCTGCAACGTTCCCCTTCCCTTTGGCGACCTATAGTGATCGTATTTTGTCTCCCCTCCTTGGGAAATGCCATTGTTGTGGACTAGTGACATAGAGTGGGAAGGGTGTGAAAGGGGGAGTGAGGTATCTGCATCCTTCCTCCCCACCTCAAGTTTTATGCATGACTGCACCATTGAAAAGTAGTCCCTCCCATAGAAACGTGTGTCACCTGTTTTGGTAGCGTGAGTGTGCAAAGCATCTTCCTGCATCCCTGTGACAGGGGCTCAGAAGACGTCTAGCGCAAGTATACGTTTGCTGAAGAAGTCTTCTGAAGCCCCGTGGGATCAGGAGGCTGAATTAGCATCCCACGTGGAATCTGGTGAGGCTGAAGTGGAGCTGAATTCTCTTTTCCTCTCCCTTGACAGGGCATCCCTTTGGAGCTCCTGTGTGGTCCTACCTCTCCTGGCTCTCACTTGGATGTCTGCAGTTCTGGCAATCACAGATCGGCGGTCAGCACTCTTCCAGATCCTTTTTGCTGTCTTTGACTCATTGGAGGGCTTTGTCATCGTTATGGTCCATTGCATCCTAAGGCGGGAGGTGAGATGAATGAGTCGTTCTCTTTTATATAACCAACATAATTCACATAGAAAACATCTGAAGAACGTCCAGTCAGACTGGTAGCTTTTCTAATCCTATGAACTTTTGCCTTTGTGTAGACAGTGACTACAAAAATGACCATGACATTATCATCGGTCAGAGGGAAGGAGGGATGAATCGGTGGTTGTCATGCTGAATGTACTGCAGAGCGGAATTTGGGGGACAATCTTAGATTAGCTGACATGTCAGGTTTTGCTTGTTTAACACTAAAATTAATATTTCCAGAACGTTTACACCCCACCTCAAAAATGGAATATTAAGAAAAACAATTGGTTTGTTTAATTTCAAGAGGGGCAACTGGCACCCAGGTTTACAGAATGATTATATGTTGGCATTAGTGCCTAGATATTTGAGCTAGAAAGTAAAGCTAGCAATAATCAAGCAAGGAAATTTAGTAAATTCTCTCCAGCCTCCCTGTGGAGATTTAAAATGGTAAATTATATCAGGGAAGAAAAGAACGAATCTTTTATGTTTCTTTTATTCTTTTCATCCTACTGAGCAGATAGACTATTAATAACAGAGACAGGAAGGGGTGTTTTTTTTCAATATTCATTTTATCTTCTTACAGCTCCTTTAAATTAAGTAAAACAGATTAATTTCTTATGGCAGGCCAATGAAATCAATGGAATTACACCACTGGCTTGGCTGAGACTCCTTCAACTAATTGCATTATGAATATGGGCCTGCATTTAACTCTCGTTGCTGTCACTGGCATTTTTTTCCATTGATTTCAGTGAGTTTTGCATCAGATATATATTACAGCTGATATAAGATCATAATCAGACCTTGTAGACCCCAGTATAATGATTTATGCAATAGCATCCATTGTAAATGTGTTGCAAGGTGCAAAGTAGAAAACATTTTTATTCTTGACTATATAAATCAACAACTAGAAGTGACCAACGCAGTGACCCAGGATACCTGTAAAACCTTTGAGTTGCTCTGTTAGTATGTGAGATATGTAACATATAAACCATTTCAAATTAATACCTGAATGCTACTGAAGTTGGATCCATGTTCTTTTGATCTACCAAGGACTTTTTTTTTTTTTTTCCCCAAGCAGAATTTAATATGTTTTGGTGTTCCTGTCTGACTCTGACTTTTGCAAATCCATTTGTTCCTGCAGGTCCAGGATGCTGTGAAGTGCCGAGTAGTAGATCGTCAGGAAGAGGGCAATGGAGACTCAGGGGGGTCATTTCAGAACGGACACGCTCAGTTAATGGTAGGGAAAACTACCACCTAGTCTATTATTAAGGGACCTTTGGGCATTTTTAACTCATAACTGATAAACAAAGGGCTCTGTCCATCATAGATATTGCAATCATCATTCTTTTTTCCTTTAAACCTGTACTTGAACAAATGTAGCACTTAGTATAGGCTCTTTCACACAAATCCGGTTTCTTTTCATTCTAATATTAAGGGGCTCAAACTTACACATTAAGTTTTGCAGACATCGAGATCCTTTCTTTCCCAGAAAATAGAAAGCCAAAATATACCTCCCAGGTCTTCCAGACATTTTCATCCCCATCATCATGCTGCCTTGCCCTAGCTGAAGCTAAGAGACAGGAGTTTAATACTGCTTTAATCACAGTCTGTTGGGTCATTATTATAAAGATGCTGTCTCAAAGGGATTTGTTTCTCTCAAAAGCACGCTTGTTCACATTGCTTCATTGGGAACATAGTTTAAGCACTGTAAACCTTGGTCCTGTTGTGTAAGTCCTTTACAAACAGTCTAGATAAGGCCGTAGAAGAATAAGCTATGAGAAATCGTCATGCATCTGCTTCAGTGTTATGATGTACATGATATAAGAAGCATTTGATTTCTGTGTTTGGGGTAAGGACATCAGGACAATCACAAGATTTTAACAAGTTCCAAAACCGTCTGGTTAATATTAGACCTATATCATATCCCAATGTTTTGAGTTTTTTTCCCAGTCACTCCTGTGCTAAGCTAAGTAGCTTGTGCTTAGGTACAAGATCTGATTTCAAACAGCACAATCTTTAAATTAAGACATCAAGAGATACACAATTCTACCACACCTCATAGGTGTTTGTTAAAAACAGGTGCCTCATTTCTAATTTAAATGCGTAGTCTTCTCATTTTCAGTCTTAGATTCTTGCTATGCCTATTCATGTGTAATTAGAAAGCCCTTTGCATGCCTGGTGCTTTTGCTCCTTCAATAATAGACACCGTCATCATATCCAGTCTCAATCTTCCTTTCAGTAAGGAAGTTTTTTTATTGTCTCTCTGCAAGATATTTCCCTTCAAATTATTTATATAGCCTAGAGAAGCTGTGGATGCCCCCTCCCTTGAAATCTTCAAGGCCAGGTTGGATGGGGCTTTGGGCAACCTGGTCTAGTGGAGGGTGTCCCTGCCCATGGCAGGGGGGTTGGAACCATTCTATGATTCTATGATATAGCCCTTTTCCACATGCCCTTCAGACTCTCACCATCCTTTAAAAATGTGGATGCTCTATTTGTTATTCTGTTGTCACCATCCCAAGTGCATTATTCTGAAGCTTCAGATTTTTGTCTCTGTGTATAACTCCCTGTTTTCATTCATTATCAACCACCTTGCAAAATTCTGTCAGCTACAAGTTTTTAGCAATGAGATTGCATTTACTTCTTTGCTGTTGACGGATGTGTTGAGAAGTAGAGAGTTTACAATCCGTTTTTTTTCACATTCAGGCTCAAAAAGCTCTGGAATCTAGATGTGAATGATAAAGTCCTCACTGATATTTTTAGAGGGGTACAATGTTATTTTACAGCGACTGAGTTGTAAGATAACCAAAGAAATCAAAAGCTTTGCAGGGTGGCATTTTTGCCGTCACATTTTCCAATAATCTTCAAATCTGCCAAACAAGTGAAAAGAAGCTTAGCTGAGTAGAACTGTTTTCCACAAAATCGTGTTGACTGGTATTAAATATAAACCTGTCTTTTATTTATTTATCAGTAGAACTAGTACAGGCTGTTCGGTTACATTTTTCTGGAACTCCTATCATGAAAATGAGATTATATTTTTCTGTGTCATCCCACTTGCCCATTTAAATGTTAGTTCAGTCTTATTTCTCTTAGATTCTTTTCAGATTTATTTGATATCCCAAATAATTTACTAAGAAATTAGCATCAAGATGGTTGAGATAATTCCTCAACCAGCTCTTCAAAAACTCTTGGATCGCAACCTGCTAATATTAAAGCATTTATCCCAGGGGGATAAACACACTCTTCTTAGTATTAAATTGGAATGCGTTCAATCACATTAATACAATTATACTAAGTACCTTCTTTCTGAAATGACACTAGAAATAATCAGTGAACTCTTCCACCTTTTGGTAGTCTGTGGCCTTTCCGTTAGTCCATGAAAACTCATGGCCCGCTGTGACTCAGTGTATCCAGTTCTTTGAAATGTTATCTGCTAAAAGCTTTAGAAAAAGGATTAACTCACTCATATTGGGAGAAGAAAGGAGTTTCATTTGGCTGTACAGACCACCTGAAAAAGTTATTCAGCCTTTGTGCCTGCAGGGACCATTGATTTTATATGCCAGGAGTTTCAGAAGCAGAGACTTGTTTCCACTTCATGTGACTTGGTGATAGATCACAAGAAAGCCCACTGGGTATAAAGTGTCCCAACAGTATCCCCAGATCTCTTTAATAAGTGGAGGGGAATCCACTTAGACTAAGTTTGGGGTAATTTATCCAAGGCAGATCAAGTCAGGAACCGGTCTCTTCTTTTTTAGTAATGTGCATGAATGTGTTCCAGGGAGATACTTTAATCTGGCAGCCCAGGAATTAGTGTATGGATGACCAGATAAATCCAGCTGAAAAGCAATGTTACAGTTTTATCACTGCCTGAGGCTCAAAAGCCACAGGTGGAAAAAAGCGGTCTGTTTGCCATGTTTCAAAGCCCAAGCAAAACATCTCTCCTCCACTCTTCTGGCAATGGTTGTGTCTGCCTCGCTAACTAAAGTGGGGTTTTGCATTTTCCAAATGGCTTTCTTTCCCCCCACCACCTCCCTTTGACCACGTCCTCTGTGTTCTCTGTCTTTCAGACCGATTTTGAGAAGGACGTGGATATGGCTTGTAGATCAGGTGAGCACATCACAGGTGAGAATCAACAAGTGACCTGGTTTGGGGATTGAACTAGGCCATTTTTTTCCTTTCTGTTTTATTTGTGTGTGTCTTAGTGTCTTGCATGTACTTGCGTGGGCTGCCCTTACTCTTAACCTCAGCCAAAAGAAAGCAACACCCCTAATTCTCCCCTGTGCTTTGCTTATCTGATTTCCTTGTAGTTTTCTTGGCCTTTTAACTAAGATTCAGCCTTGCCTCTGAGGTATTATTTCTTACCTATGTCTCATGTAACACGATGGCAGAGAAGAGAAGAGAATCAAGGAAGAAGAGATTGGATCCATCTCTTCTTACTGTGATCCTTCTTTGCTTTAGCAACCCCTGCCCAAGGGGGGTCACACCAACCTCAGACAGCTCTGTGCTCAGGAGAGGTGTCTTTGAGAAGGTCTGGACTCTGGAGAGCCTTCCCACCACTCCATCTGTCTCCATGCACACTTCTAGTGCAGTTGTAAGCTGCCTGTATGTATGGAGGTGGGTCAGGTCTCTCCTCCTTTGCCTGCACCTTTCTGCTGTGTGTTCAATCACACATGTTCATTGTGACCCTGAAGATCTGCATGAGTTGACAGTCCCTTTCCCCAGTAACTCCCTTTTCTCTCATTCCCTTGGGGGTGTCTGTGCTGTCTGGATTCTCCTTTGTCTCTGCAGGTTTCATGCTGTCCTGGTCCTGGCATGCCTGACCATTTGGCTTGGGTTTTTTTCTTACCCTTTGTAGATATTTAGGCTTTTATTTACCCTCCCAGACTTCTCCGCTCTCCCAAGCAAGAGAACCAGCAGCTTGCTTGACACTTGAAAATAATTCACATCATCCAAACCAGGATCTCCCCTAGCCAAGGACAGTACATACTGTGTCTTCAGTTACCATCATGGGGAAGCTTCTGTCTCTCTCTGTCTTCATTACCCTTCCTCCGCTCCTTCTTTCCTTCCTTCCTTCCCTCCCTCCCTCCCTCCCTTCTTCATTTCTTCCCTTTCTCTCCCTTTTTTCTTTCTTCTGTTTCTCCTCTCTTTCTCTTTCTATGCACCTGTCCCTTTCATTTATCTTTATCTAATCTATCATTTATTTATCTGCTTCTAATGTATTTATCTATAATTCATCTCTTTTTCTCTATCTTGCAATCACTTATTTATCTCTGTCCTCAGCTGTCCGTCGTGCTGTACCTGTTATTTATGTATTTCTATCTCTGTCATCATTTATCTCTGTCACTGTGTTTCTGTGTATTGTCTATCATTGTCACTATCATTTATCTATCTAATATCTATCTATATCTTATTTATCTTTTCCTGTCCTTCCCTCTGCCTCACTCCCTCTCCCTATGCTTATCAGATTCACAGTATATTTATCTCACTTATCCCTGTGATATCTTATTTCATGGTCTCTTTCTGTCCATTTATCTCTTTTCAGGGTCTGTCCATTTTGTTCTTTCTGTTTCTCTGTCTCACACTCTCTAATCTAATTTCTATCTCTCTCCCTCTTCTCATTTGTCTCCTTTCTTCCTTTTTGACACCGAAGACCTCAGTTCCAAAAAATCACGTGCAAAAAACGTGCATGTGAGACCAGGTCTGACTTGAACACATGCTCAATGAACATGCATCCAGGCTGGGTGTTGGCACACACAGCCAGCTACACAGCCAGCAGCCCAGCTCATGCTGGAAACCAAGGCAGACCCTGAACTCCTGCAATAAAGGAGCTTTTCTGAATCTGCTGTCAAATTTCTTGCTCCCAAATCGAGCTTCCCACAGGAAAGGAAGGACCCGACTGGTTTCACATGACTTCAGGGCAGAGGACCCTGGATCAGCAGGCTGCTGACAGGCTAGGCTTCCCTTCCATTGCTTATACAATTTGTTTGTAGATGTCTGCCTGAAGACGTATTCCTCCTCTGATAAAGTACTGTTAGTCTACACCAAGCTAAGCAGTTAATAATAGTCCCCATTTTAGAGACCATTCTATATGGTGCATCATCGTATGCATTCTACTTATGGAATAATAAAAAATAATAATTGCCCATTGGTTGCTGGCCATCATTTCTCCTGGAGGCACCAGTTCTCATGTAATAACGGATTGGAGATATGCCTGATACTGCTCATAACCCCCTCACTTAAATTCACTGGTAGAATTGGGTCCATAGCTCAATGTTGAACACTCACTCTGCTCCATGCTTGGAGATTGCCAAGTGCAAACCTCTCCAAACCTACTTTCTGCAGCTGACATGAGCATGGAGAAGAGCCTGAATCAAGAAACCTTACTGACACTCCCAAGTGAAGGGCTTGACTTCAGTTACATCTTCCCACAGTATATGTCATGAATACGCTGTAATGCTCTGATTTATCCTAGCATGTCCTCTAGCAATGTCAAGATGACCACAGCTGCCATAGTTACACCCAGTCTGTTTATCTTTGAAAGCTTTTTAAAAGTTCTTTTATTCTACTTGGTCTCCTTGTCATCCTGCCTTGCCTGCTCTGTAGTCTTTGAGGGGACCTTTGCTCTTTCAGCATCCGTCGCTCCCAGTATGAGTTGGTTGAAAAATTAGTGTGTCCTCAGTCCCATGGGATGCTTCTGTCATGTCCTGCCTCTGTCCCAGGTGGAGCAGCTGAATAGTATCAGGTTACCCCAAAGATCCCTGTTTCTATTCCATTTGGAAAAAAAATAGGTAAAAGGACCTTTTTTTTTTTTTTCCTTCTGAGATGGGTGAAGGGGAACATGCATTTATTTCTCCTTTCCTGTGCTGAAATACTGGGTAAGTAGCCTTCAGTCCCTCACCACTTTGCCCCTGTGATTTCCATCACCTGGAGACATCAAGGCTGACGTCATTATCTTCCTAAGGTCTTTGTTGCAGCCTGAACTCAACTGAGCAATAGATTCTTACGCCTAGAAAAGAAGCAGATGTCTTGTTGTGGGCAGTGTTGCGTGGGAGTGAGTGTCTGTGTGTCCTTTATATACCTCCTAATTGGCATGTTCACCTCGTCCTCAGTTTAAGGTTTTCCACTCCTATTAAGGAATATTCATGGCACTCCTTTCTATCCTCAAGGGAAATCGAGAAACACTAAATAATTAGCTCTCACACAGGCTTGGCGTGATTACTAGAATGTAAGCTTTTTGGAGAGCAGTTAGAAATTCATAACAAAATGTGGTGTGTTTCACAATACCAAATTATTGACACTGAAACCATTCCAGGGAAAAGATACCTGAGGCAGTTCAGCAAGTTTAAAACAAAACAAAACAAAACAAAACAAGACTTTACATTTGAAATCATTGATAATGCTGCATTTTAACTATTTTCTGAATCAAAATAATTTTTGACATGAAAGCAACCTTTTATTTTAAAGAATTCTACTCCATGGGCTAGTAATATATATCTCTCTCATGTATTTACAAATACTAGATGTACTAAATAAGTACACATGTATTTGTTTTTCAAGATATTGTTATCAATATGACAATACTTGTTGGCCTAGTTGGGAGATTTGGCCATGTTTGTGTTGTAAAATTCCCATCACAGAGAACTCCCTCAAAATGAGAAAGTTTTTTTCTTCCCTAGCTTTAGTTTTGCCTTCAGCATCCTGGATTTAAAAAAAAAAAACAAAAAACAAAAAAACCCCAACAAACCAACAACAGTATAAACCACTGTTCTGCCACCATAGCCTCTTTCTGAGAGGTCCAAGGGAACATGCTAGCATGGCGTGACTGTGGTAAGTGTATTGATGTGTTAACAAAAACATAGGTGAAGTACTAAGGATACTTATCTGTCTTCCTAGTGCTGAATAAGGACATCACCACCTGCAGGACCTCAACCATCACAGGAACACTGAAGCGTCCATCACTGCCAGATGAAGAGAAATTGAAACTCAATCACCAGAAGGGGTCATCAAACTTTAACAGTCTTCCAGCCAATGTCTCCAAGATGCATCTTCAGGGCTCACCACACTACCTGGGGGCCATCAACCTGAATGAGTTCAGCAATCACACTCTCACTCTGAAGAAAGACAAGAACCAGCCGCCTAAGTCCATCTACATCTGTGATGGGGACATCTTCAAGAAGTTGGACTCAGAACTTTCCCGGGCACAAGAGCAAACACTGGACACCAGCTACGTTATTCTGCCTACCAACACGTCTACTTTACGGGCCAAACCGCCCAAAGACGAGAGCAAATACAGCATCAATATTGACCAGATGCCCCAGACACGGCTCATCCACCTCAGTATGGCTACTGACCCAGGCTTTGTTGTCAAGAGTCCTCCACGGGAGCCTGTAACCATGACATGCAGTGAGGTGCAAGGTTCCCCCATGATACAACAACAGCAGCAGCTGGCTCCACAAAATATCTCCAACGAGTCACAGATTCCCAACAGCCTGTGTGACACAGGTGACTCAGGGAACTCGGGTGTGGTGTCCAAGAGTGAGACCGTCTCCACCCTCTCCATGAGCTCCTTGGAGGTAAGCATGTGAATTACTGTCTTGTTCTCAGATGAGAACGATGCCCTGCCCTCAACGTTGGCCACACTAGGTGTTTCAAGAGAAGCACCTTATGCCAAATGCAGCCCACCAAGCATTGCCAGTGTTACATTATCATGAGGGATCGCTGACATGGGATACCATTTTATAATCTAATGCTTAAAATCCCTCAAGACTTCCATGGATGTGCTCCATTGCTGGATGGACTGTCATTAGCCTTACAGGCAATGCAAAGTCCAAAGTGTTAACTTGTCAAAGACTTCATTTTAATGCAAGGCACATGGCTTGCATTACCTTTTCTCCTTTGATTCTCTGCCTCTGTTTCCCATTTTGATGACTTCAGTCATGATACAGATGAGAAAACCCTAGCAATCACAGATGTAGAATGTCCCTAAGGCATGCCTCACAATGCTCTTAGCATCAGTGGGATGTCAGAGGTTTTGCATAAGTGCAGCCCTCTCCTTCTGACCTGTCATAACTCATCGCATATATTAACAATTCTCCCTAGACCATAGATCTTACACTGATGTCTGTTCTATTTTTTGCACTTATAGAATCATAGAATCATAGAAGGGTTTGGGTTGGAAGGGACCTTAAAAGATCATCTAGTTCCACCCCCCTGCCATGGGCAGGGACACCCTCCACTAGACCAGGTTGCCCAAAGCCCCATCCAACCTGGCCTTGAACACTTCCAGGGAGGGGGCATCCACAACTTCTCTGGGCAACCTGTTCCAGTGCCTCACCACCCTCACAGGGAAGAATTTCTTCCTAATATCTAATCTAAATCTACCCTCCTTCAGCTTAAACCCATTACCCCTTGTCCTGTCACTTCTCAGCACCTGGACCTTTTCTTACCTGTTGTCCAAGAGCAGGTCTCAGCCATTGCTTTCCAAACTTCAGTCTTGACTGACCGATGCTCAAAAGCTTCAATAGATGAGTTGGCTGAGCCTCTCTGCTTTCCATTCTGTAAACCACCTGCAAGCTCACAACTAGGGAAGAGTCTTGAATTGACCACACTCCCATGCTCAGCCCTCCTCAAGGCTCAGTGTCTTTTGGTAGAGATCCCTCTAACTGGCTGGCACTTTCCATCATGAAGAGACAGAAAAATAGGTTAAAGGTGTGGGAAGAAGGAAAAGGAGAATGACTCTCCCTGTTTTTTCTACTGTGTGGTTGAGTTTGTGCATACTCAACAGCATCAACCCATTTACTAACCTTCACCCATCTCTTTTTCTTTTGAATACCCAGAGGCGGAAATCCCGGTATGCAGAGCTAGATTTTGAGGTGAGTACATCCCTTTCTGAATGTACTTTTCTAGGGATAAGATGAGAAAAAGAAATGCCGCTTTCTTTTCTTCCTGGCACTTTTGCAGGAGCGCTGCCTCTGCCCAAGTGCTTCTTCAAGGGTTTAAAAACAGTGGCTGAAAGAGTTGTGATGGATGCCTAGTAAGGCTTACCCTGTGCAGCTAAACAAATGGGTGATCTATATTTGTACATGCTTAATTTATGGAGCAGTAGCTTCTGTGTAAATATTTGTAAATCAAATGGCTTGGCCAAGACCTGTAATGTTTCCTCTGTGAGCAAAATGCTTACGGAGAGCTGATGCAGTGGTAGGTGACTGCACCACGTTCCTATATGGGAAGCACATGTACATTTGGTTGGTGGCCTAAATGCCTGATCATTTGTGTGCAACATCTGTTGCTTAACAGAAAGGAAGCTAATACATCCCCACTGTCACAACCCATTGTCAAGCCTGGCCTTTCACACCTATTAATGAACCTTACAGAATCAGCCTGGGAGGAAGAAGTCTATACTGTACATAGGAAAATGTCTGTCCTCACACCTGAGGCACAGAGTACAAAGCTTTGAAAGAGCTAGTCCACCACAAAAGGTCCATGGGGCTACTGAGAGCTAATGCAGCTATCTTGAGTACAGTCATGGCACCCTTCCTGGCAGAGCTATCCTTTCCCTTCAAAGCTGCTAGCTTATTCCAAAACAGAGGCACGTTAAGGGCCCACAAGGAGTTGCCTTAATGCTAGAATCACTTCAGAACTCCAGGTTGTGACCTTGGTCTGAAATTGAGGCACGATGGGTACATGATCCTTCAAGTTGATCTCAAACTATTTGAGCCGCCTCCTATTATATAGCACTTGGCAGAGTACAAGAAAGCCGTATTCAACATGCTTTTACATGCAAAGGGAAGTCCTTGTAGAAATTGGTCCTGCCTCTCCTTCTGGGCAGTAGAAGGTAGAAGTGAAATGCAGAAGGGCCACAATATAAAGAAAAGGAAATTGTGGAATAGTCCCTGAGTGAACTTCTTCTACCCAAATCCTACATGTTTGGGTAAGCTCTGAGCACATTTGCAAAGGAGGCACACTAAGAACAGAGTGGGCATGGTGTCAGATGCCAGTTAAAGAAGGTCAGCAAAGCTTCCTAGGTCAAGCTGGTAGAACATTTCCAGTCAAGCACAAATTCTGCAGCATAAACAGTTGGCAGTTGCAGGTTTAGGGTAACCATAAGGTCAAAAATGGGTCTTTCGCACCATCTAATCCTGAAAATAAAGGCAGTGCTACACTGGGTCCTCAGAGAACTTTGAAGGTAGTTTAGGCACACCAGATTGCATCTGCAGGGAGACAGAGACAGTTTTTAATAATGTATGTAACTTTGGGGGGAAGACATGTTGTTTCTGTACAGCTGAGGGGGATTTCCTGACCTGTGGCCCTTGTGTTTGCTTCAGAAAATCATGCACACAAGAAAACGTCACCAAGACATGTTCCAAGACCTGAACAGAAAACTCCAGCACGCAGAGAAGGAGAAGGAGTCTCCAACAACGGACAGCAAGGTTAGTCAGACACTTGCAGAACCATCATCTCCTAGATTTCTCTAGTGCCAGCAGGAGCATGGGAAGAAGCAAGAAAGTTTAGGAGCCTTCAGTGAAAGCCTTACCTTGATGTTCTGTCCATGTATGTTGCAACAAGCACATGGGCACCAAACAGGACACAGAGGGTCACACAGGTACCACTGCTGGTCAGCAGCCCAGAAGGAGAATGTCTGTCCTTATGTCCATTCGTGGTGAATGCAGTCTGTGTTGTCTTGTTTGTCTCTGTTCCTTGTGTCCATGTCTGTTCTTTGCGTCTCTGTTCAGGTCGTCTCCAAGTGCCACATCCATCTACTCATAGCTAGGAATGGAAAACAGAACAGCCTTGAGGAAATCCAGGTGGAAAGGGGAGAGGGCAGAAGGCGGGGACAGCAGG